ACCGTTGCACAGCAAAACGCACCGGCAAGCTGTGGCTAACCTGTTCTGCCGGTGGTGGCTTAAAGGCCACGTTGACGGGATCGAGGCGAACGGCGGCGGCGGCGGGGTGGGTCGGCGCGGCGGTGCTGGTCATCGCGGCAAGGCTGGGGGCTGTCTGAACTGGAGAGAAAGGTGCGTCCACGGTCGTTGTCCTGACGACGGCGGTCGGAATTGTCGGTGCGAGTCGGAGAGGGGGAGGGGGAGCGGGAGGGAGAGCGGTTTGCGGTTCGAGAGGTGGTGGAACGAAAGGGCGAGCGGTCGGTGGGGACGTTGATGGTGCAGGTGCCCTGCGGTAGCGAATGCGGTGAGCGGTGAGCGGCATCGTGCTCCATTGAAATGGTGCATGCAAGGTCGATCACATCCTGCAGTCGTATGTAGGAACCCGGGTTGCGTAAGTGCGAGAAGATCTCCTTCCTGAGGTCGTCCTGCAGTCCCTGCGCGAAGAAGAGGACGTGGTCCTTCTCGTGGCGGTACGGCAGGTCAGCCATAAGGCGTTGGAATTCCGCAATGTAGCATTGTAAGGAGTTTGGTCCGGAACCCTGCGTCAAGGCAAACATAGCAAGCTGCGCTTGATAGAGTCCCGTGATGGGGACGGGAGCCATCGGAGGATGACGAAGACGAAGATGACGAAGACGACGATGACGAAGATGACCAGCGGAGCGAAGACGAAAGCGATGACGACGAAGACGATGAAGACGAAGGCGGAGCGAAGCGTATAGGCCGGATCGTCTAGATCGATACCAACTGAAAGGGCATAGGCTCCGTTTCTCGTTGGGATGCCACGATGATTACAAAGAGGGCCGAGCGACTTAAGCCAGCTAACAACCTACAAGATGTAACAATGATGACATAACAAACTAAACAACAACAACGACTTAAATAGTTATCCAGAGCCTAGGCGGCGCCGGAAGGTCGTACATTATCCGTATCTCAAATGATCGTCCACGAGTAAAGTTAACGACTTAACAACTAACAAGAAAACCTAACACGGGGTTTGACTCTGTTTGTATTATCGAAAGAGGCTGCTTTAGAGAAAGTTTTGCAGTGCTCGTCCTCGGTACGGAACTGGGCGCAGGAAGGATATCTCCGGCGTGCTTGCCTCCTCTAACTCAACCTAAAGCTTTGGCAATGAATTTTATATGGACTGATTAGGCAGAAAAAACGTTTCAAACAGCGTATTTCTCCGCACTACACGAAAGACTACATTGAGAATTTTATTAGGGATCCCAACACGCAAATCGTGCGGAACAGAGACCTTGATGAACCCGACTCTGTGATATTCCAAAGAAGGCTACCGACTGGCGCTGTTCATCGGGTCGTAGTGTATCCATCAAGGTCTGGGAGCTGGAGAATAGTGACTATTGAATACGTGAAGAGAGGCGACCGTTATTGGAACAAAGATGTTGTCCCTGGGGAGCAACAGCTTGAGGTATGACAAGGCTGCTGCATCTAGACCTTGTGTCTTTTTGCAGTCGGGGTTTGGCTGACATAGTTTGTAACGGTTCCATGCAGCTTCGGGATCAACTCGCTCACGCCGCTGGGCTACAAGAAGACCTCGGCGCAGCATCGGCAGCCCAACAAGTCCTCTAGCGGTCCCCAGTAAGCCCTTGACCCGATCCAAGTAAATACAGAAGGATTCAAAACACCTTGTCGGACCAGGTTGATCATTTATATTGCTTGTTAGTTGTAGCTTTTTCTGTGCTGGCGAGGCTCAGTCTGGCCTAGCCTGGCAGTCCCAGTCTAATGCACAGTTGGCCTAGTTTCTAGCCCATACATAAAGCAGTGTCTTATGACTGTTTTACCTAGTCAGTGCACCGAAATTTGACCGATATCCTCTGTGGCTGCAGTGATTTTTTTCACTGCAGCCACTTTTTTCACTGACAGACCACCCCCCCCCTCCCCGATAAGTTACAACTCCCCTCATAGACCAAGAGGCACGCACTGAGTTGGCGCGTTTTTGTTCATGTGCGCACTCTTCATGCACATGCATAGATAGTTCTGGCACTGTTTGTGAGCAATCCCAATGGCATACTCCAGGCCAGTTCCGGCCCAGTTCCGGTCGGTAG